TGATTTAAATCATAAACCTAGCCTCAATATTAAAGAACCACTTTAGGAATAAAACATGCTGCAAATTGATGAAGTATGAAAAATGAAAATATGTAAAAAAATCTTCTATGGTGACTAACTTTCATTAAACTCATATTTTCATATTAAACTCTTGAAGTTGTAAATCTTCAAACGTAACACTAAGATTTTACCTTTAAGTCCCATCTTTAGTTTCGATTGAATTTTTGTTCTTTGAGTTGTATGAACTTGTTCTAAATTTAATCCATTTAAAAGTATAGTATCTTTTTATGACATTGAAGAAATAAATTGGTTATTTCCCTTAAATTATAGATGGAAATTTAGTGCTTATGAGTTTCATGGTATAGAATATATAACATAATGTAGAGCATCTTATATAAAACTGTCTTGCATTATTGTGCCGCTGCATCCTATAGTTAGATATGCAAAGGGGTCAATTGTAAACAATTGAAATGCAAATAGTTATCAATAAAAAGAACATACAAGGTAAATGCAAATGAAAATATAGAAATTGAATGTAATTATTCCCCATGTGCATCATTATAAGGAAACTTTGTTGAATATTCTGAATTTAAAACAGGTGAACAAAGGGAGGTTCAGTTAGAAGTCTTTGAAATTTGAGAGGTAGGAAATGTCTCCCTAATTTTAACATCACCCTCACAAAAATAATTATAATTTCATAAAATGTATGTGGAAAACAACTGGGATTATGGAAGATTGCATATATTTTGAATTTTAAATCAGTCATAATCTGTATTTCATGCCTATTTTCTGAAAGTTATTTACTATATGTTCCTTGAATTGAAGAATACTACCAATATATGAGAGAAGTCATAAATCTAAATGTAGGAAGAGATAGAAATTAGAAAAATAAAGTATGTTGTATATTATTTTACCTATTTTATAATATTTAAGTAATCATTTCTTCTAGTATATGTAAAACATAATGTTAATCATGAAAGCACAAACTAGTATTATGTAAAAAAATAATTTATTTTATAAAACAGTAAAAGTCTGTAGAATACTAAATAGCACGTGTTAACCGTAGCAAAATCATTCCTCAAATTTATAAGCATAATACCTAGAGAAAAGCAGTTCTTTAGTTTTTTAAAATGAAATACATTGTATACATCATATAAATTACAATAGGGTATTTAGTATATTTTAATATATTTTCAAAATTCTTTATTTTGTAAAAATGTAACTGAAGGACATAACTTATTTTTTAGAGAAGTATAGCAGAAATAATATTTCTATCCTCAAAAAAACCTTCAGAGACAAATTCCCATTTCAACTTAATTTTCCACATTTGAATTCATATATTATGACTATATGTTGCCAAGGTAACTTTGTCTACCAGGTAAAATGCAAATTAAAGTTTATAATATCTGTAGCTAATGATCATGTTTGATATTACGCATTTTTGTTCCCATCAGACTTCATGTCACAGATGTACAGAAGAATGGCTACCCAAAATAATCATCATGAGTCTTAAAATAAAACTGAAACATTATTTTTTTCAGATTTCTTAGTTTTAGTTCTACTTCCTTTAAAATAAAATACTTTTAATTTAAAAAGTCTCTGCGTTTACTAGCAAGCATCACTTCATTTAAGCAGAAGGAATAATACACACATTTATCAAATTTAAAGAGCACCTGTTTAAAATAATTTGGAATATGTTTCCTACAGATGATGATAAGTTTATATTTTTTTATATTCACCCTTATATAATAATGTGATGCTTGAAAGCAAATCATATATAAAATATTGTATTAGTAGAACATTTTTCAGGAAAATTCAGGTATACAGTACATATATACCTGAAATGCTATGCTATATATAGTTTAAAATAAATGCTATAAAAATTCTATAATTTTGTGTTTTTAGTCATTTTTCATGATATAATTAGTCATTAGAGGTAAAAAAGTTAACTTTCATCATTAAGTAGCTATTATAGGCTATGCTAGCAATTTTTCCTATTACATTAAAAAAGAAAAAAACTCTGTGGCCTAGAAAATAAAAACTAATACTTTATCATATTCTAATTATTCTAAGATAGGAACATTTTGAAAATAACATATGGAATAATTAATATATATTTGGAAATTCAGAAAAAAGTTATATTTAATTTTGGAATATATCAGTACCTCTTTTTTTCACCCCTGTCTTCTTGAATCACACTTTTTTTATCTTCCAAGTAACATTTTCCTTATTTTATGCTTTCTGTCAGAAATCTGAACATCATAATTTTTACTGAATCATGTTTTGGGTCTTCAATTAAAAATATTTCTGCTAAATTTATTTTAATTGTGTGCCTTTCAAAGAGACTTTGAAAGAAACCTCTTTCAAACTTTTTCTAATTTTTCTTTCCCAGACTTCTAGCCCCACAGTTTCAGAGGCTGACTGACTGAAACAGGTTGTACGGAAACTTCTGGGCATGTTGTTAACATCTGACACAGTGAGTGAGAAAAAAGCAAGCAAAGTCACTGGGCAGGTTCAAAGAAAGTGGCAGCTTCTGGAGACAAAAAGTTTGTGTTTTTGCTAGTTGATAGTTATTTGCAACACACTAGTTAAATTCATATCCATTCACTTCTTAATCGCTTGCTTTCTCTCAACCACTATAATGCAAACCGAAAGGATTTTATTATAGATGTTGTTCACTGATGTGTGCAGAGCAAGTGTGTCTTTATTTAGTCCTGTCTGACATTTTCCACAATGCTTCGAGTAGACAGCATCATATTATGTAAATATTTCTGGTTACTGTTTCTGGAGGTTGTTGCCTAAATTTCTCTTTGGATAAAGCCTTGAATGCTTTCACCCAGAATCCATGCAGGAGCCACCCGAGTTTGAGAAGTTTAGTGATGCCCTTTGTACTTCAACTTTTAATATTAGGGCACATATTGAAACCATAAACACAATGAAAATTCAAAAAATATTCCGACAATATTAGAAGAATATGCCCCCTCCTTTTTCATACTTTAAGAGCCAAGGGCATGGGGAGGGGCAGGAAGAAACATTCTTAAGATCTGAGCCCTGGACGCCATCCTGTGAGTGCTTAAAACCCTTAGAAACGTGCAGCCTGAAGAACACCCCCTTGCAAAGTCTAAAACAATATTAGATTCCCGAAATATAGGCAAAGAAAGTCTTACCGTCAAACGCTTGCAGCAGGTTCCAGCTCTGACCCAGACTGAAAAGCTGAGCAGCTGGTGAACAAAAGTTTTAGCTTTTTTTTTTTAAAAAAAACGAAGTCTGCAAAACTAATTTCCCTCAAAATAGGGCTCAATTTCCGTTAAAGAAAGCAGCGCTTACAAATGTCAGAATTCCTGATCACCCCCACCCCATCCCACCTCTAAGCAATGGAAAACAATTCGAACTTTCACACGGATGTAAAAGGTTTATTGCGAAGCCACTATTCTGCAGTACGACTTAAAAGAATAGGGAGATGGGCTGAAGCCCGGGGGTCTGGGCCAGGGAAAATGTTCTGCTTTGGAGACACTTCCCAAAGATTAATCAATACTTTTTTTTTGCTAATTCAAACCAGATGGTTGGTCTAGTTTGCTGTCCCTATTAATCCCATTAACAACTTCAAAGACTTGGTCCCCATCCTCTGGACACCTGAGACAATGAAAATAACAGGGCGACGTTGCTGGTGGCACATGCGCGGGCCCGGGCTAGATATGTGAGTGCCTCTAATTCTCCTGATGCGACATGTCCCAGGCAAGAGTCGGCTGTTCCTGCAGCTCATAATGGGAGCCTTGCTTGCCTTGTGTAAATGACTCTGCCCCCAGCCGACAATGTCTCAAGCAAGTGGCACCATCAAAGCGCAGCTGACGCTCGCACTAATTCACTGGTGGCAAAATTTCTCACTCATTTTCTATGATGCATGATTGACCAGGGAGTTCTGAAGCTTTGGTGAACTTTGGAAGATTTTGAAGTGTAACATTTCTAGTAAATAAACCACGGCTGCGGAGGGGGAGGGGGTGCTTTTAGTTGATTTATTTTTGAGCAGGTTAGGAGTGATTTCTGCAGGGTAGTGGGGAGACACGGGCTGGCTTCTGAGGGGAAAGACTGGAAATGTGCGTGCAATCTACTCCTCTCATGTGACCAGGACAAAATTGCTTTAGAATATTCCTGACCCAGGAAAAGTTCTTGGTGGAAATTCAAAGGGACCAGAAAAGTAGGGGAGAGGAAATTAGCAGTGATCAGGGGGAAAGAAACCCCACCAGGTACCTCAGGTGAAAATGTCAGGGCTGGACATCTGCAACTGTCGCTGCCCTGTGCTTTCCTCCCACCCACCCCAACAGGTCTCTCTCTCTCTTGGCACCAGAATGGTCCTTTCCTGAACGCAGAGTGCATTTCTGCAACCTGAGACCTGGCCTCCGCGGCCATTTACAAGGCACCCACAGACACTAGCTGCAAAAAGCTAGGCGTGCCACTTGTCCTAGGCACGAGGAGATGCAAAGTTTGAAAAACTCCGAAGGCATGCCTAACTAGTTCTTTTCTTTTTCCCCCTTAATCCTAACGTTCCCTCCATGTTCCTCAAGAGCTAGGTGCAATTCTAGCTTTCCAGCAGGTGACAGTGCCCAAATGGCACTGACAAGACACCTTTCCTGAGCGAAGTGAGAAGGTGGGACTCGGGGTGCGGGACTGGGTCTGGCACAAGGATCACTGAGTCTCAGCTGCGGGCACAGGGCACCGGCAGGATAGAGCCACTGCTGCTTGGGACTGGGGTTTAGGCGCTGGTCGCTCAGCTCTCAGAGTTGGCGGCCGGCAGGGGCGGGCGGGCGTGGACGCGCTGTGTGCGTCCAGCCGGCTTTAGGAAGTGGAACTGGAAGCGCGTAGTGCACACTGAGCGGGAGTTTTGGAGGGAGTTTGCATGTGGTCAGCGCTGGGTTCCTAAGCCAGCCCCCAGCTCACATTACACTCTATTTATAACCTCTCAGAGCCGTTTACCCCTGAAAGCAGTTCTCTGGGACCACCTTCTTTTGGCTTCAACCTCTCCTACTCTTGACATCTGAGTAGCTCGGAGGGAAGCTCCTCCAGGTCAGATTGTTTGTATGTAAAGGAGACTGGCCGCTAGGGCTCAGGACCGGGATTATCCAAGCTCTGCAGAAACGCGGGCAGCAATTGCTTGGGGAGGGGGAAAAGTCACACGATTTCCAGTGAAAAAGTGACAGAGGGTGGCGGCTTTTGCAACCGTCGTGAAGTCTTCTGCCTGGAACCCGAGACTTGCATGCTATGGAACACCCGCTCTTTGGCTGCTTGCGCAGCCCTCACGCTACCGCGCAAGGCTTGCACCCGTTTTCCCAGTCCTCTCTCGCCCTCCATGGAAGATCTGACCATATGTCCTACCCCGAGCTCTCCACTTCTTCCTCATCTTGCATAATCGCGGGATACCCCAACGAGGAGGGCATGTTTGCCAGCCAGCATCACAGGGGGCACCACCACCACCACCACCATCACCACCACCACCACCAGCAGCAGCAGCACCAAGCTCTGCAAACCAACTGGCACCTCCCGCAGATGTCCTCCCCCCCGAGCGCTGCTCGGCACAGCCTCTGCCTTCAGCCGGACTCGGGAGGGCCCCCGGAGATGGGCAGCAGCCCGCCGGTCTTGTGTTCCAACTCTTCCAGCTTGGGCTCCAGCACCCCGACTGGGGCTGCGTGTGCGCCGGGGGACTACGGACGCCAGGCGCTGTCACCCGCGGAGGCGGAGAAGAGAAGTGGCGGAAAGAGGAAAAGCGATAGCTCAGGTAAGGACACGCCAGGCACCTTGGGCGAAAGGGGCGGGGAGATGTCGGGAAGATTCACTATAGTGAGGCAGCAGGGAATATTGTACAAGTCTTGCTATGTCTGGCTCCCCGCCGCCAAATGCCGCGGCACTGCCTTAGTCCTGTTATTTGGGGACACGTGTTTCTCCGAGGGCCGAACTGTAGCCAACAGCACTAAGCTCTCCAGGCTTCAAATAGTTTACCAGAAGGTTGAGAAAAAAAGGACAAGTGGCAGTATGTGAAATCGATTGCAAAGCGTGACCTTCCATCTGAATGATGGGGCGGGGAGTGTGCCCTGGGATGCAGCGTCCGCTGGGCGTGCGTGCGGTGCCGCTTCTTGACATTTTCCCTCGCAAGTTCCTGACTCTGAGTGGCTCGATTTTTTTCCATCGTTAACTGAATTTCCAAATTATTGCACAATATTTGGAACTTGCCATGGAACTTGGCAGAGCGTATGAGAAAAAAGTTTTAGTTTTTTTTTTTTTTAATTCTGATTTCAGAGTTCTTTAAATAGCACCCTTTCCCAAATGGTAAAAAATTTCCCTTTCTGGGGAAGAAGCCATAATCTAGGAATTCAGAAGATTTTAAGAACTGTTTGAAAATTGTTAACAAATACGTGCTCAGATTTGAAGAAATACGAGTCTTAATAGTAGTTGTACTGTTGTGGTACTAATCTAAAAAAGAGAATCTGAGATTCAAAAGTGGAAAGCAGTATCTTCCTTCCATTGAGAATTATCGGAGACAAGTAAACAGCAACCCCAGCAATGCTGGGTCTCTAGATCCCTGAGGCTGGTGTGCCACATGCAAGCTGGAGGCACTGATCTTCCTGGGGATACGTGGAGTGGCCACGCGAAAGGGGCCGCTTGAAGGCACAGTCTGACACGTACATTGTAACAGTCCAGAGAAACTAAAGTTTTTCAGGCAGCTCAGCATAACCCTCACCTGTCTCAGTGTGAAAGTGTTAAAGCCTGCTTTACAATTCAGCGAGTGTTCTTCCGCAGTTATAGCGCTGCAACCTGCATTCCATCTTTTTGGAAAGTGGCATCTGTTTAATATAATATTTACACATTTCCTGCCTCTGAGGAATTGGGTTAACAGTTCTAGAAGGTAATTCCAGATACTGGTGTGAGGGACTGGAAAAATGTTTATCTTTTATAACGCTTTAGGTAAGACGTCAAGTACATGACGATGATCGAGCCGTACTGTTTCATGTTCTTTCCATGTTCTTTTGCAGTGACGCTGTCAATTGTTCTTCAGCCTGAGTTAGGGTTCGAACTTTTACTTTCCAAGGTCAGGGGTGTACTTTTAGTGCTCGCTCACAAATTAGTTTATATCTAAGAAAATTACCAAAAGAATCACTCATTTTTAATGTTTTTTATTAACCATAAGTGAAACTCGTAAGACAGCGAGTTAAAAGGTTAATCGTAGCAAGAAGGTTTCCATATCCATTAGAAAAGTAGTCAATTTTAGACATAGCCATCCTTTAGTAGACACAGCATTTGATAGCAATATAAATTTTTTTGGAAACAGACCTCAGTTCAGATTTGTCAGCTCACTTTTGTAATTACCAGAAGCTCTTATGATTTACCTCACTTTCTGCAACCAGAAATTGGTGTGATTGTTGTTCCTTGTGCTTCCTGAACTGAACCACTGCAACCAACTTTCTTAGGACAAACTGAGTTTTCATGTAGATGTATGTTATTTGGACTGGCAGTAAACACAGACAGTGGGATCTAAGAACTGGGTCCCTTAAATTGTTTTAGTAACTTTTCAAAGAAAATTGGTTCTGTTAATGGTTCTACTCTGTTTTGATGGGAAATAACCACATAACAAAATAAGTTTGTCTTTATACATTGAAGTTAATAAAGTACTGGAAAAATAAACAAACACAAAAGTTACCATCAGCTGCATAAAGTATTGATAGATTACATCTTAAGTGGGAAATATAATTAGTCATCACCAAGAGTAGAATCACTGGGGAGTTAGAATGAGTGTTTCCTTGATGGAATATTTTGAAAGAAATTTTGATTAATGGAAAGGAAATATCACTGTAGTTTCTAGTTAAATGTATGTGTACTCAATAAAAATAAAATTTAATTTCCAAATTTCACTATTTGAGTTAATTTATATTTGTTAGATCTTTAGATAGATTTAAGTTCAAGGTATCTTTCTCCTGTGATGATACTGCAATTGGTCTTCCATAGTTTATATTCACAGCTATTTTTTTAATAGTATAAAGGTATCTTGATTCCACAAAATTAAGGGAATGTAAAAAATCACTATAATTCTTATGTGTTATTGACATGTAATCTCTCATTGCTTCTAGCACACTTTTAATATTTCACTATTATTTCCAAAAATTAAATTAAATTAATTTCTGAACTCTTGAAATTTTAAAATCATACTAGATGAAAGTCACATCATGTCTAATAGAGACCATTTATGTTTTGTTAGGCAGTTTATAATTACTATGCATTTATAGTTCAGAGTAAATGTAATACGTAAATTCAGAGCAAAATTCTGTGTCATTGCATCTAATACCCAGATATTATGTATGTGTGCCTTGACCATGTTGAATTTTAATTGAATTTTATGCACCAGAAAATGTTGACAAAGCAAATTTTACTCATGGCAATGATACTAAAACTACAATATGTAACACTTACCAGCATGCATGTACATGTATTTCCCTTCCAAGCACACACGTTGCTTTTCTGCAATGTATACAAACTCAAGAAGCTTAAGGATCTAGAAACAAATATTTATGGACTTTATTTGTCCATTATATTTTATTGACAATTGAAAATAACCAAGTTTAATAGAAAAGCACACTGTTATTTTTTATATGTGTTAAACATTTCTGCAACTTTGAGCCTGCTGTACTTTCCACTGTTATTAGCAAGGCCAACATCTGCCACTTCTTCAAAGGAACTCTTAAAAATTGAAACTTTACAACTGTACTTAAAACAATCTATACAAAGCAGGTGATCCTGAAAAAAAGTCTATAAATGGGGTGAATTACTTGGCTTCAATTACATTTGATTGTTTGCCAAGCAATGTAGTACTAGGTATAAAATACCCACTTTCAGTGAAAATAACCAAAATAGATTAATCCATCTAACTTTAGATTTTATGCAGGTAATACATTGTATAAATGTGGAAATATTTTCTATTCAAGTTAACTGAATAACTAACTATAAGTACATATTTTATGAAAAATAAAAATTATATTAAAAAGGGGGTGATTTGAGGATGTGGATTTAACAAGGTTTTGAATCATATTAGATTCTTGTAAAATGACAAATATTTTATTTATAGCTACAAGATCATAAAATATTTATTGCAAATCATGTCCGTCTATATGCCTAACCCTACAGGATGACAAGAATAACATTAAAAGATGGAAGTTAAATATAGAGTAATGTCTTAGCCACCCTAACTCTGGTATTATGTTGTAACTTTTTCTAGATATTTGAATCATCAGGTTTTCTAAAAGGAAAAAATGTCACTTTATCATTCACCTCTGTGTTGCTGGATTATTGTTTTTCAACAATTGCTTTAGAAGTTTAAAACTAGTCTATTAGGTCTTGGTTATTATAGGATGATGTGGAACAAATTAAATGTCTCAAATTCATAGAATAAAAATATCAATTTAAATTTTTTTCTTGAAGTGCTGTATTACTTTAGGTGTGAACATTTTAAAATTGTGACCTGACATTAAAATCATCTAAGTACCATTGACCTACATGCATGGTCTCAAATTGCACTCAAAAGTCAAAAAGCAGCAATTTCTTTAGAATTAAGGGTTTGATTGTTGAAAGTCAGCAAAAAATGGAAGAAAAATGCAAATAGAAATAGGAATAGTTTCCAGTTCTTTATAAATATTTTTATTTATAGGTGGAAAAGGGGAAAATGTTAAATATAGAGCATGGCACTTCTAAAACATTCATTTGGATTAAAAACCCATTAGTAAATATTGAAAATTTTAGTCTTTGTTTATGGTAATTATCAATGGAAACCATTATGTTGGCACCCTGTAAGCTTATCTTAACTAAAAAAAAAATTAGATATATTTTAAGTATTGCTGTGTTTTCCTTCTGTGTTAAAAACACATACTCTTCATCACAGAGTTGGAATTTATAGTAACTTACACTATTCGTTGCATGACTTAGAGTCTAAGAAATTAATTTTAAATAAAAATGAAATCTCAAAAGAGATCAACCCCTTCCCTTAGATTCAGGAGAATTTGGGAGACTTAATTTCATATTTATTGGAATTAACATTTTTTCATTTGGGATATAACCTGTGGACTGGTTATGAGCTGAATTCTCTTACATATACTTAGCCTGGTAATGGTGCCAATTTTATTCATTTATTATCTTAAAAATGGCAGCAAGAAATACAAAACAATAATGTGAGGGCTTTTTAGATTTTATTTCAAATGAGAAAAACCAGTATAATATAACAAAATATTTTAGTTTTAGACTCCATTTGCTTCAGTAATTTTTTAATAAAATTGCAGCGTGTGTATCTTTTCCAAGCATTACTAAAGTGATTACAAACATCTGTGAGTGGTACATTTAAAGATAGAAAAATATTATAACATAAAATATGCACAGGAATTCCTTAATTAATATTTGTTGTTGATAACTGTAGATGAGATATCTGTCTCAAATTTACTGTATTTTTGTAATATTTAATTTAAAATAAAATATTTATGTGTAAAATATATTAGTACATGAAGCGAGACTATCAGCAGTGGCATTTCCCCACCCCAGATTATAATCAAGATAAGAAGGATTAATTCTTGAGTGACAAGTTAAATTATGTTTTCTGTGTTATGTCATCGGTGACTGATTCCAATGGTTTATTTAAAAAAAAGTCGAAACACAAACCAAGACCAAAGTCCACAAATTAGAGATGGAGGTAAGTATGATGTATTTCCTGTTCAACCTATTTAAGCAACAAGACACATTTTATTG